CCCCTGCGCTGCCCCCTGTTACCCCCACACTGACCCACACTGCCCCATCACCCCGCACGGCCCCCCAATAGCCCTGTCACCTCTTGTGCTGCCCCCTGTCATGCCCCGCACTGACCTCCCCAGCCCTGTCACTCCTGCGCTGACCCACATCACCTCCCAAGGGAGAGCACTCCCCCTAGCCGCCCCCTGCACTGCCCCCCACTCCCTGCACTGCCCCGTCACCTGCTCCACTGACCCCCACAGCCCCATCACCCCCTGTGCTGACCACCATCACCATCAAAGGGAGAGACCGCCAGCCCCTTCCAGCTCTGCTCCTCCCTCCCTGCCCTGCCCCCCCAACGCCCTGCACTGACTCCCCGTCCCCCCAATGGAGAGACCCCCCTACTCTGATCCCCACAGCTCCCGATCAACTCTTGCATTGCCCCGCATCATCCCCTAAGGAAGAGACCCCCCCAGCACTGACCCCCTCACAGACACCTCCCCAGCCACCCCAAGAGGAAAGATCCCCTCCACAGTCACTGACCCCTGCCTCATAGTCACCTGTTTCACTGCCCCTTCTCACAATCACTCTAAAATGGGAGAGATGCCCCTAGTTACCTCCAACAGGAGAGAATCTCCCCTAATATGAGACTCCCCCACAGTCGCCCCCAAGAGAAGAGACCTCCCCAGAGTCACCCCGCAGCTGAGATACACCTGCCTCTTAGTCACCCACTTCACTGACCTCTCCCCACAGCTACCTGTTTCACCAACTCCTTCCACTCCCTCCCCTCTCCCCCCCCATCCTGTGAATCCAGGCGAGATTTCCACCCACTGAGACTGCTAACAAGGAGAGATTCCCCCTCCACAGTCACCTGCTTCACTGAGCCCCTTGCCTAAAAAAGCCCCCCCAAATCCTACACCCTTTGGAGAGGGAAGGTGAGTTGAGTGTGGAGCTAGAGCAGAGTGGGAGTGAGGACTGGAGTTAGTGGAGACTCTTTAACACAGACTGGGAGTTGTATATTGCATGTTCCTCTCTGACCACCTGTGTGTCTGCTTCTCCCACAATTCTCTCTCACTGTATTCCCTGCCATGCTGGATGACAGCTGATCTGTCTGTAAAACTGCTCTCTTCAAGACTGCTTCTGATGCAGCATTTATATGAAAACTTAACTAATGATAACTAAGGCCATGTATACATGTACAGCAGTGCAGTGGTAGTGATGCAGCACATCTGGTGAAGATGCTCTATTCTGATGGGAGAGAGCTCTTCCGTCAGCATAAAAAAAACCACCCTTGCAAGCAGAGAAGCTCTCCTCCCACTATAGTGTTGTGCACAGTAGTGTTTATGTCAGTGTAGCTTGTGTTGCTCGGGGTGAAATATTCACACCCAAGTGACAAATTTTGCCCACATAGCCAGTAGTGTAAGCGAGGGGCAGCAGAGGATAGATAGCTGTTTACTGATTTATAGATATACATTTTAAAAGCAAATGCATTTACAAAGTGGATATATTTGAATGTCTCTCTCCCTCACTCATCATTTATCTCTTTAGGCCCTGATCCTACCAAGACTTACACATGTGCTTAATTTTTGTTAAAGTGAAGCATGCATGTAAATCTTTGCAGGCTGATAAATTTCTTGGGGCACGAACCTATTTATGTCTGTGCTTATACAGCCCCTAGCACAGTGGAGCTTTGAGTCTGATTCAAATATTTAGGTATGTTTGTAATGTTATTACTACATAAAAATAATAACTAACATATTTCCCTCCTTTAGGTTCTCAATTGTTATTGCACATCACAGCTCCACAGAGGATATCCTCAAATATAACTGGAGATCTGGTACTTGTAGTTAAGGAATACAGTTGTTCCCTATCTATATAATTAGATATTAAATTATATAATAAATATGTGTAAATGGAGGTACAGTGAGAATCTGTTAAAATCCTTTAAATGCTACAATCCTTGTAGCACATTTGTGGCTATAATGTGTAAGGTGTTTCCAGTGAAACATCCTTCAGTCCCTCATTGGGCCAATGTGTCTTTGAGAAGGGAGGTATATTTGGCAAAGTTCTTTGGCACTCAAACCAGTAACCTTAAAGTGGAACTACAAATGTTTTATAAAATAATTTGGTTGCTAAATCAATAATAAAACATGTAGACTCAAAACTACAAATAAAAGGGCAAGTTATTATAATCTATTAATAAATAAATTTACAATTTAAGGTACCACTCTTGCAAAGACTTAAACGTCTATAACTTTTTGCACATGAGTAGTAAACATTCTAAAACCCATTGAAGTCAATGGGAGTCTCTTCACTGACTTGCTTTAGGTCAGGCTTCAAATGTGCAACGTGGCAGCATAGGCTACATAAGGTTTGAAAATAGTTTTTTAAATCTTAAATTTGGGTTTCTGTGTCTTTCCTGTGATCAGTCGCAATACCATCACATGGGGGGGGAGGGATAGCTCAGTGGTTTGAGCATCGGCCTGCTAAACCCAGGGTTGTGAGTTCAATCCTTAAGGGGGCCACTTAGGGATCGGGGCAAAATCAGTACTTTGTCCTGCTAGTGAAGGCAGGGGGCTGAACTCAATGACCTTTCAGGGTCCCTTCCAGTTCTATGAGATAGGTATATCTCCATATATAAAAACCATAAACATTATAGGGGGTGATACCTGCAGGTAGGGTGGATTTGATTTAAATCACTAGTCAGGAACACTCAATTTAATCATGGATTTCTACATAAAAGGGCATTCTTGTTGGTTATTATAACCTTAATACATATTCTTCACAACTCGGAGATAGATGTAGGTTTCATTTTTAGAAGGTACACACTATACATTTTTAAGTGATTTATTTCAAAAACTTTTCAGGTGAGTTTTACAGCTATATCAGAAAAGGAATGATTGTTTGGTTATTTCATTTACCAAAGGTAATTGAAGCAGATATTTATGAAGTGATTGGGAGGTGAACTATCTCCAGTTCAACAGGTTAATCATTAATAATTGGAGGATTTTCTTGCCATTCTGTATTAGGAGAAGAACATCACCAGACAGACATTTAAATTTAAAGCAACAATGTTATGTATTCTGGATTTTTTTTCAACAGCGAACATAATATTTTAACAAAACAAGCATACGAATTTAGTTAAACATTCAAGTTTTTTAAAATCAGATTTGTTTTTGTTAAAATTGCTTTAACTAAAATAGTTAAATGAAATATTTGTTTTTAAAAAACAAAAATTAAATTGACTGTCAGCCAGGTCAACATGAGAAACTTAAAATATTGGCTTCTGCAGCTAACTCAGTCGTCTTCACCTTCATTTTCCTGTTTCTTCATAATCTGGAAAAGAAAAACAAGCTTTCCTGCTTTTTCAGGTCCCAAACGATTTCTCAGTTTGGAATGAATTAATCCAAAGGAAGAAAATATTCTTTCTACACCAGCAGAAGAAGCTACTGCTGTTAAAAGTTAGATTATCACTTCAACAGTCTCGGAATCCAAGTACTTAAGTGACTTTCACCAGTTCACTGGTGTGACTTTCTTTAAAACATCATCAGCAAACATATATTTCTTGAATGGTTCACCCTTAGCTCTGAAGTTTATTATAGCTGGCATTATGGAGGGATGATTGCTGGATGTCCATGTTATAGCCAACTCCTTTTCTTCAGCAGTTGAGGTTTGAGCCTAGTACTGAGTATTGAGAATATTTGCAAGAAAATGAGCTGGAGATAGTGTTTGTCCCATTCGTTTTTTTAATGCTTGTAGTTTAACTCTGTCATTGCATATTTCTCTTTTTAAGAAATACTTGTGGCACCTTAGAGACTAACAAATTTATTAGAGCATAAGCTTTCGTGGACTACAGCCCACTTCTTCGGATGCGTGGCTGTAGTCCCCAAAAGCTTATGCTCTAATAAATTTGTTAGTCTCTAAGGTGCCACCAGTACTCACGTCTCTTTTTGCGGATACAGA